ACCTCGTTCCAGCAGGTATTCCAGCGCCTGAAGGATCCCCTTCAAGAACAAACATTGTTACAGTTAGCTTTAGGTTGGAGTGAACAGATTTGTGTTCACATCAGCATTGTTTCACTGTACCATCACAGACTGTTTGTTGTCGATGGTTCCTCGTCCATAAACGAAGCCATTGAGCTCTTGAGCAGAGAAAGGAGGAACGTCCCACCCATCCGCCTCATCGGCCGGGACTACATCAATGTGAGCCAGCAGCATGTACGGCTCCAGATCAGGCTCTCTCCCAGGAACCGTGAACAAGTGGCTGTAGTTTCCCACCAGCTCATGTTTGACCAGGCTGGATGAGAAGACCTTTGGGAAGACTGAGACAGAAACCAGTCTTAAATAACACTCCTTTAGTTTCACTTGATATAAAACCGTATAATACTAAAGGAAAAGTAGTTAATTTCCATAAATCCCGAAAACAAACAGTGATTAAAATATGATGAAGTGTCCTTCAGAAAATAGTTATTTGCAGTATTTTTATGTATTTTATATGGGGTTTGGAATTTTTGTTATCCGTTACTAATATTTAGGACATGTCTAAATCTTAAAGGCCAAGTTGTGTGATTACAATTGTTTTGAAATTAAAATAAGTTGATAATCAAAATGACTGTCAGTTCAGTAGACTGTCAATTGTATAATTTAAAATATGGTACAGTGTTTATTTTCTGCCACATCATTTGTAAAGCATTAGCATAGTTCTCTCACCAAAGTTTATGTGTGTTTTAATAGTTTAAAAGGGATATGGGACATAGCATCTGGTTTCAGTTATCTTGCGTTGACAGCTGTTGGATGCTGCTGTGTAACGCATCGCGTCTCACCCCTCCTCAGCAGCCCGTCAAACTCCTGCAGCGCGCTCGTGTCCACATTCGTCTCAGTAAATGACACGGTGGGAATCTGTATGGCCGCTATGAAAGAGATGAAAACAAGACATTTGAAACAATATTACAGGTGTAATATCTACAGGCAGCATCCATGTTGACAGCGCATCCCTTATCTTCGTTAACTGATGATGTCTACGTGATCTTTTTACGTCACGTGACGAGTTGATCAGTATTTCTACGTTGTTTGTTACCTTTGAAGTTTGCCAGCAGATTCTTCCTCTGTTGTGGAATTAAATGAAGTGAAATGGTTGTTGTGTTTTCCCATTTTCCCAGCTGAAGCCCCGCGCCTACATCAAATGTGAACGTCCTAACTGTGGCAACAAGGAACAAAACTGTAATCAAAAATATGACACCAAACAGCAGCACTTTAAGAAACTTAAATAATTTCCAAAGAGTGTTATGGGGTGTCATGTTTCAGGAAGCACGTAGCAGGGGCGGCGTTTGCGTATGGCAGAGTATGGCCAGCCATGGGGCTTTTTTTTTTTTTTTTTTTTATGGCCATGGGGCTATATGCACGTATAAGTTCCGCATTTGACGCAAGGATGCTCGTCCATTTCCGGTGGTGGAGATTAAAGCGGAGGAAAACCGAGGAAAACGGGATTATGGCAGTCTTCGAAATTTACTGTCCTCCCGTCTTTAAACGGGATGTAATTTTGAATATAGTTATGTTTATTTAATATAATTTTAAAAAGAAGCATAAACACAAGGAGGGGTGTCTGTTCTATCTGTTTTTGTGACTTTTTTTGTGAGTATAAAATTCAATATAAATTCTCGGTATTGCATTGGACTCTACGATATCGAGCATCCTTACATCTTCACCGGAAATACCGCCGTGCGTAGAGCCCATTGTCATACCTAGCAGAGTTCAGATAAAACATCAGCTGATGATGATGCTCTTTAAAAATTTTAGAAGGGCTTTTAAACCCCTAAATCCCCCCCTAAATCCCCCCCCCCCCCAAATCCCCCCCCCCCCCCCCCCCAAAAAAAAAAAAAAAAAAAGTGCGTTTCATAATCGTTCGGGCAGTCACCCGGCTTCTCCGCAGCGTCAGCGTCAGAACAAAAGCAGATGAAAACTTTTTACTGCCTATGATGAAAACGTGCATGCATTTATTGTGCATTAATTGATAGAACGGTGTAGGCCTATAGTATATGCATCTGTTTAGTTCTTCGTTTGTCATAAATGCAGTTTACGTTGCCCACTGTGAAATCTGGGCTCATTTTATTTAATTTTTAAATTTTTTGTTTTTTTTTGGGTGTGCGCAGCTTTACAAAATTCATGAATGGAGTGAATATTCCATTTCAGAGAATGCTGTTTCTGTCTGGCCTAACAAGCTGTGAGCTATCCCTATTTTCTTTCCCTCCTGACACAACGCGTTACAAGTTAACAGTGCATTGTGCATGTTGTTAATGTGAGGTATTATATCGTTCGGTAAGTCGTTGTTCTATGTAAGTTGTAACGTTATGCCAGTTGCCATACTCTAGGTTTTTGTGAAACAGAGACATTTCATAACCAGGGTCAGAGACCATAGATATCTATATAAACTAAGGCTAGATATGTCGTCCACGCTGCTGGCCAATGGAGGTCGACGTCTGCACCTGGCGGCCATCTTGTCACAGGCAGCTCGCTCACTCGTAACATTGTGTTAATGGTACATGTACTATTTAAATGACCATAACTTGCTCAATTTTCTACCGATTTTCAAACGGTTTGTTTTGTTATAAACGTCAGAGATGTAGTTATGACACTGCATACTTATGAATAAAAAGTGTATAAATAAATAATCGTCCAGATAATTATAGTCACGTTAATACCGTTTGTAAGAAACCAAACTGTTTGTAAATCCGTCAAGATTTCAACGAGATAAGAGTATTTGTGTTCGTGCTGACCACTCATCTTACATCAGCTTGTCTGTGACAAGATGGCCGCCGGTGATGACGATGGAAACTCCGCCGTAACACTTCTAGCCACATATCTATGTCAGAGACGGGCTCTGCCAGGTTTCATACGGGGTTCATACCTCACCGATGTGATTAGAGGCACGATCGCCCTCTGCTGCTGTGAATTAGAATCACAGGTTAAAGAGCATTTATGGTATAATGTTTGTGGTAACACTTTACAATAAGTTTCATTAGTTAACATTATTTAACTACCTTAGTTAACAAATACTAAGAACTAATAATACTTCTACAGCATTTATTAATCTTAGTTCATATTAATTTCAACATTTACTAATTATTAAAATCAACGGTTGTATTTGTCTACATTAGTTAATGCACTGTGAACTAACATGAACAAACAATGAACAGCTGGATTTAAAATGTTGCTCTAACATTAACAAAGATATAGTAACAAAATGTGTTGATTATTGTTAGTTAATGTTAGTTATACATTAACTAATGTTAACTAATCAACCTTTTTGTAAAGTGTTACCATGTTTGTTAATGTTGTCATGTTTTGAAAATGTTCAGTAATGTGGTAAATGGCAGGTGATACAAGATAACAGGCAATTGGAGACAGACAGGTGAAAAACAACGGGACTTAAACTGAGGCATATAGATTATTCATTATTCATTCTTATGTAAATAAAGTGATATGAAGCAGTTGCATTAAACCCCAGTATGTTTATTCTGCAGTAACATTGAAGCAATTTATAATCTTAACATTTCTTTTTAGATTTCTTTCAAGGTTACTTTCAAAGCAACCAGGGAAAACATTGACTAGATTTTGGCACAAATGAGAGCAATGAGACAAAGGTAAAATACAGACATTATAAAGACTGTGTCAAAAGGTCTTTATCTGCTCTCTATCTTGATGACTTTGCAGGAGTCAGTAGTTCTGTCAAGGGCAACTATATTCCTCAGCCAGATCCATAAACATCTGAGTACTGGACCTTATAATGTTTAAGTATCAATCATTGACAGTGTGACAGAGCAAAGTCAAAAATATAAACTCTGACATACAGAAGACTACTTGTGAAGTTGTGAAATATTACATAAAAGTGCAATAACCTGAAACCCATAAGATATTCATGTTCAGTGAAGCAGAATCTGCGCAGGCAAGGCAGTGGTTGTGTGTGCAAACTGCAAACCCAGCTGATCATGTCCTTCGTTCACAGAGATGTGCAGAATTAACCTTGAGTTACCCAGCAGCACTAACACAACAGCTACTGTAGTAAACAACATTTCCATTTTTTTACAGGTTTTTCAATAACAAGTAAATCTTGAGATAACAGACATATTGGAAGGCATATTTTACGTGGACAAGATGCATGCAAATAACTTTTAAAACTAATGCATAACTTTTAAATCTAAAATAACTATTAAAAAATATTTGTAAACACTGTTTAACATGAAGACAAACCTCATAAATGGCAATATATTTGATTATTTACACTGGTAGTATGAGTAACCTAGTATTTCAAATGTTAAGTACCTAAAGATACTATAGAAAGGAATTTCAAGAAAATTATTTTTATTATCAATTTTGCACGCATCATTTCAAGCAAATTGAGGAAAATATAGTTTTGGAGTCAGTAAGATTTTTTAAAATGTTTTTGAAAGAAGTATTTTATGCTCACCAAGACTGCATTTATTTGATAAAAAAAAAATATATATATTAAAACTGTAAAATGGTTCAATATTATTACAATAAAAAAAATGTTATGAAATGTTTCTATTAATTGGTTTCTATTAGAAAATAAATTGGTTTCTATTACAAAACATTTAAAAATATAATTTATTCCTATGATTTTCCTATGATTTATTCCTATGATCCTTCAGAAATCATTCTAATATGCTGATTTTCTACTCTAGAAACATTTTGTAATATATATATATATATATATATATATATGAAGAGTTCAGATGCAAAAGCCTCTAAATGCCATTTGAAATTTTCTTCTAAAATGACCATTTTTATCAAGCTTGTATATTTAAGTTCAGTAATTTCACTTAAATGACAATTAATAGGTAATCTTTATTGCCATTTAAGTGAAATGACTGAACTTAAATATACAAGCTTGATAAAAATGATCATTTTAGAAGAAAATTTCAAATGGCACTTAGAGGCTTTTGCATCTGAACTCTTCATATCTTTACTGTCAATTTTGACCAAAAAATAGAAAATCTGACTGACCCCAAACTTTTGAATGTTTTTATACAGCTTTTATATTCAAGTTCATTTATACAGAACTAAGGTAATAAATTACACAGATTCCAAAGCATGACATCAGTGTTTTTTTAGGTGCGAGGTGGCGACAAGTTCCTAATGTCACTATTCTGCATGAGTTGAAAGTAGAACAGCACAATCTCTTCATAGTTTTGGATGGAGATTCTCTCATTCACACCATGGAATCTAAAGGCAAGTGTAAGCAGTTTAATATTTAATTACTTTTACAACTTCAGCAGGAGTACCATTTCTGTGTGTCCTACCTCGCAGAATCACCGGGTTTGTACCATGATGGGGCAAAGCGATAAATGTCCCGAGACAGTTCAGTGTAGTGCCGGCTGTCAGTGTTGCCCACACATATAGCTAAGAGTGAGGGAGAAGGTCTTCATGAGTCAATGATGTATGTAAGGGGCACTTAAACCCCTTATGACAATGATGACAATGCTGAAAAAGCCTTACCAGGAGTTACAGCGACCTGAGGGAAAATGTCATTCACTGTTTTCTTTATGATCTGGTACCCGAATGTATCATCATCATAGGAGCTGATGGGCAGAGGGTCAAATCCACTCACCAACTCTACCTTCACACGCTCATCGGATATGGTGGATCCGATCAGCTTTAGAACCTTTAGAAAGTGAATGGGGCATTCATTATTTAACATTTCGTTTTAGTAAACTTTATGAAATATATTCAAGTATGAAAATCTGCCATGGACGTACAACTATAGAATTTGCATTATTCAAAATGTTATCAACAGCAGTCGAGTCATCATAATATTTGCATACTCAATACTTATTGGAGTTCTTTCCAGCCTAAATTAAAAATTATAAAAACAGATTGGTATAAAACTATATGTCGAATTCAAACATAATAAACAAAGTAAAAGAAAAACATAGGTGGAATTAATAATAAATAAAACAAAATTAATAGCATATATACAAACAATTGAAATAATTAGCTACTTTGTAAAGCTTGCATTTGTTTCATTTTAAAAGTTCTTAAATAAGTCTTAATGGTTTGTTTATCTAGAGATTAAAGAGATTTTTTACATTATAACTTTATGACACAGTACTCATAACTTAGTGATAGTAAAATGACGTAAAGAGAGTATCATAATAGTATCAATGTCTGCATTGTTAGCATTACGCATTGGTTATGTAACGTGAGTTATGTAATCAATTACTTTTTTCAAGTCAACTTTTTTTAGGGAGTAATGCAACATTGTAGCGCATTGTAATTGTACTTTTAAAAGTTACTTTTCCAAATATTAAATGTCTTAGAGTTGAGCTAAAACTTCCTTGGTTGTCAAGCACTGGTTTTTCCTTCAGGAAATGCAAATAGTTATGACTGTGTATGACTAAGTGTATGACTATGAGCTACACTGTAAAAAAAAAAATGAAGTAACCTGGTTGCCTTAAAATTGTAAGTTCATTGAAATGAAAAAATTGAGTTAATACAATGATAATTTAATCATCGGAAAGTCAAAATATTACGTTATATGAACTACATAAATTATTTAAGTTGATTTGACAATTTATTTATTTTTTGTTACTGTGTAACAACGTGTGAATTCTGTGGCTTCATTGTGACCTCTCACCTCTTGCAACGTTTGGGCTGAGTGGATGCGGAGATTGACAAAGGCCTCAGCATATGCTGGCATTACATTAATCTGTTAGAGAGAGAGAGAGAAATAATCCGATTTCTAGTCATGTTAAGTGTATTTTTAAGTACATTTGTGTATAAACAGAAAAAGAATGAATGTGAATGACAACCCACCTTCACACCTGAGTTAAACATTGTGACGGCAGTTGTTGTCCTCACAAAGGCATTTGTGTCAGGCTGTCCTTCCAAAATACTGCAAATGTGATTCGAAAGATCAGATCAGAGCATATACTCATTAATTACTGTATAGATCAATAATGTGGCCTACCCGCTGAGCATTGAAGAGAAGAGCCAGAGATTAGACATGATCATTTTGTGTGGCCAGCCGAACTACAAGCCAAAAGAATAAAGAATAAATTAATTCAGTATTTTTAGGAGTGGGATACACATTTTAAATCATCTTTGAATTATCACCTTATGTGCCAGGTACTCAAAAGTAGCACGCTCAGGACCATGACCAAAAAGATTGGGCATCCGGTTCTTCTCCAAACTGTGATAACAAAATATGAATCAATCAATCAATCAATCAATCAACCTATCAATCAATCCATCCATCCATCCATCCATAAATCCGTTAACATCAACATTATACAATCTGAAAATGTTAACAAAAAGCATAAAACTAGTTAAAAAAACAAAAAGGTATTTTAAAAGGTAAAGGTATCACTTTACAATAAGGTCTCACTTGTTAACATTAGTTAAATTATAAAACAGCTTTTAAATATTTAATAAAAATATTGCTATTAATTTGAATTATGTTTTCTCATCTTCACTGAAAATCGGTACTTTACAAAGCAACTAAATGAGTGAAATGGAAAATAAATGCAAAAGATTTCTGTGGAAATGTACATTATAAGCAGTGTTGAGGAAAGTTGCTTTTAAAAGGAACTAATTGCATTTCTTAGTTCCTTTTATGGAAAGTAACGAATTACTTACACTACTTTTTACGTTACCTTTTCTTACCTTGGCTGGGCTATAGCTTGTTTATTCTTTATTCTAAAAAGTTCTATTTTTTGGCAATTTAATTTATATAATAAATGTTTAGGCACTTTTACCCCAAAAGTGAAATGGATATATATATATATATATATATATATATATATATATATATATATATATATATATATATCCATGTATATGTATATATAAACACACACACAAATATGATGTTTATCTAATGTAATTATTCGAATGGTTGAATTGGACCATCAAAAGCAAAAACATTGATAAATATAGTGAGATTAATTACATAAATTTAATATATTTAATTATTGCAGATTTGCGTAATATTCTGAGTTTTCATTTCACTGTTTTTATTTATTTTGAGGAATACTGAAACATATATATAGCCTATATATATATATATATATATATACACACTAAAATTCAAAAGAAATGCAGTACTTTAATAGTCCACTTGAAAAGAGTAATCTGATTACTTAACTGGTTACTTGTATTACATTTCCTCAACACTGATTATCACCTGCTAAAACAGAAGCTTTCAATACAGTAGAGTGAAAATGTATTATTTAATGTGATTTAAATGTGCCAGACAGATGTTAATAACAGCTTCCGCATTGGGTTTATTCCCAACTGTTGCTTTTTAAAATGAAATATAAAGTTCCTTGTGAACAGCCCCATTACAGGTGCAAAGAAAATATTTACATTGAGATCATGTTAACAGGGTTTTCATATTACAGTAAATTTGAACATATTTTCCTGCCTTCTGACGGCTGAAGCCAAGATGCCAATGCTGCTCTCTCTGGGAGGCATGGATGAATGTCCTGGAGCACTGCTGACACTCAGCTTTACTGTAGCTTGACCCTTCTCACTTACACCAATTCTAAGAAATCACACAAGACATAAATTACACAGCAGCTCAATCTCAAATTATTATAATAATGCAATAAAAAATGGTCTCACAGGGCAGCAGGTTCATTTAGGCCATCTACAATACCATCCATAATCGTGAGACCTTCATCTAAAACATACAGAAGCTTCACTCCTTGACTTTTCAACAGTTTCACGATATTCACAGCACCTATCTGGCCGTTAATCTAAGAAAAACAAATAAACAGCTGAATTAAGACAAGCTTTGATTTCAGCAGATGAACTGGTTAACATTTGATCGTGAGGCTGACCTCCTCATCGTGACCCAAACCAATGTAGAAGCTTCTGCGAGGGGTGTAACCTCGTTCCAGCAGGTATTCCAGCGCCTGAAGGATCCCCTTCAAGAACAAACATTGTTACAGTTAGCTTTAGGTTGGAGTGAACAGATTTGTGTTCACATCAGCGTTGTTTCACTGTACCATCACAGACTGTTTGTTGTCGATGGTTCCTCGTCCATAAACGAAGCCATTGAGCTCTTGAGCAGAGAAAGGAGGAACGTCCCACCCATCCGCCTCATCGGCCGGGACTACATCAATGTGAGCCAGCAGCATGTACGGCTCCAGATCAGGCTCTCTCCCAGGAACCGTGAACAAGTGGCTGTAGTTTCCCACCAGCTCATGTTTGACCAGGCTGGATGAGAAGACCTTTGGGAAGACTGAGACAGCACAATTAATTATTAACAATCTTTAATGAAACAATCTTTCATTCTTCCCAGCTAACACAAATATGTTTTTGCTACCACTGAATATGTTATTTCTGAATGTTCTCTGAACATTCAAAACACATTCCAGTTTATCAATTTTTTTCTTGGTCACACAAACATTAAAGGGATTAGTTCACCCAAAAATGAAAATTACCCCATGATTTACACACTCTCTAGCCATCATAGGTGTATTTGACATTCATCTTTAGTTGATAAAGTTTTAAATATGGATATTTTTCTTACACAAACACATTGCTTCACTTCAGAAGGCCTATATTAAGCCCTGAAGATGTGTGGAGAACTTTAATCATGAATAGATGCACTTTTTATGGACTTCCAAAAAATACACCCATTGACTCCCATTATAAGGCTTTGAAGAGCAAGGACATGTTTTAGTATTCGTCTAAAAACATCATATATATACACCTAGGATGGCTTCAAGGTGAGTAAATCATGGGGTAATTTTAATTACACACAACGTAATGACCACAATTGACGCCTCTCGCAGTTCAAACAAACAGGGCTGGGCTACCGCGTTCGTCATTGCGTTGTGCGTCAAGTTCAAGGGTAGGCCTACTCATTTGGCATAATGCGTTTATCGACTATAAACAACTATGGTTGATTTTAAATATGGATATTTTTCTTACACGAACGCATCGCTTTGCTTCAGAAGGCCTTTATTAACCCCTGTATTCATCTAAAAGAAGAATGTCAGATAGGCTGGCTGGCTTGTGAGTAAATCATGAGCTAATTTTCATTTTTGGGGGGGGAATTATCCCTTAAGGGAACGTTCCATTTTATCATTTTGCAAACATTTAGGGAACGTTACTTTCGAATGTTCTCTGAACAAGTAGAACGTACGAACGTCCAAGTAGTTTCAGTAAAAAAAGTTTAATGAACGACGTATAAATAATGTTTCTGGGCTAACGTTTTGAGAACATTATTAAAGACCAAATAACTTTGAACACACATTCTATTAACGTTACTGGAAGAACATTTGTTCAAGAGAACCTTAATTGAAAGTTCTGAGAACGATCCGGGTTTATATGTAAAACATGCAAAAAAAAAAAAAATCCATAAGTTTCCATGTTTTGGGTATTATCAGTCTCTCACCTCTCCTTAGTAGCAGGTCAAACTCTTGCAGCCCGCTTGTGTTCTGGTTCGACTCTGAAAATGACACTGTGGGAATCTGAATTGCCTCTATAGAAAAAAACAAAACAAAACATGATGATCTGACCATGTTTATGCAAATTCTGCATTTTGATTAAGGGCAATATTCTGATTTAGTTTTTATTCAGAAAAGAGATTAGCATTGGGTTTTTAGGCCCTAAATTCAATAATTCTCATTTATATTATACAGACGAAAACACAATGCCAAAACTTTAACCCTATAAAGCTTCCCACAATATGAGCTCCATATTCTCTGCTTTCTGAGCTATAAAATCTCAATATCCGTATCAAATAAATAAAGAACAACAAACTTTTGCATTACTATCATGTCAGGCTTTATAGGATTAAAACAGGCAGGTCGGCTGTTTTAATGTAATCTGAATATTTGCTCAATTACTGTAATGTATTTAATTGGATATTTTATCTTTCCATAATCTGTAAATGACCAAATTCTGATTCAGAATGTTCTGCATGTCTGCAAGTTTTGTTTCCCAAATAACACACATAAAAAATTCTTTCATTTATTTATAGTTTTTAATATTCATCAGCTTTATATATTTAAGCAGTTAGACTTTTGATAAAACTTAAGCTTTTCGTACCTTTGAAATTTTGCAGCAGATTCTTTCTCTGTTCTGGACTTAAATCAGGATAAATGTTGGTTGTATTTTCCCATTGTCCAAGTTCTGTATTCACTTTGAATGTAAATGCCCTACCGATCACAACAGAAAACAAAATTAAAATAGAAAGTAGGAGGATTCCCAGCAGTATTCCAGAAAATTTCAAAACGGTCTTCTTATTGTTTTTGGTCTTCATCTTTCTGAAGTTCAAGAGGAATGAACGACAGTCATCCGTATGATCAGGGTTCAGATTTTTTATTGCCTCTCTGGTAAACATATAAGGGGCCCCCTGCTGGATATAGAGCCAATCACAAATATGAAGAGCAAATGAGATTAAAATGAGACCCCCGGTTACGTTTTGAGTTATCTACAATAGAGATATCGAAAGCTTAAAACAAATGAATAATTTGAAGTAATTTGCACTGCAGAATATTGAGCTGCAGTACTGCCTTCATTAATCATATAATTATCCTTTACACTATTACACATTAATATTTGTAAGGTCATATATTTAGTAAATAAATTCTATAATACATTTTCTGATATTGATTTTATTTAGGGGTTCACAAAATGCAGCTATTAATATGCTCATTTATTAATTCAGGAACTCAAGTTTAAACTTCCTTTTTTAAGGCTTCTGATCCTATTTTCACTAAATTTGGCATCTAGAGTTAAAAAAATAAATAAACTCTTCTTGCCTTAAAATAGCTTGAATGTCTCTGAGATCCAACTCTGAGATCCACTCGTTGATAAACCACGATTTTGAGACCGTCTTTGGTTCACTGCAGTTTTAAGGAGAATATACTCAGCAATGGTGTCGATTTATGAATTTGCACGTGGTTTGTCTTAAAGCATATTAAAAACACCACAGACAACATTAAAAACTTGATTTAACACAGAGGGACTTTAAGAGAACATATTTATTTCTTTACTCACAAATAAACAAAAGTACATGTTTAAAAACTGAAAGAGATCATACATGACTCGTTACTGCAAGAAGAATGCAATTGTTCTTGCATGAGTTGGGTTGGCTGAATCAGGATGAACGCTGACAACTGCACAAATTTCAAATGTTATAAAATACATATATGGTAAAAGATAATTCAGAGGAAACAATGAATGCTCATGACTAGCCAACTACACATCCCATCAGTTCAAGTTCAAAATCCTGAGAGGTCTTTGAAGGCAGGTAGGGTGAAAATATGATGTACAGTATTCTCATCGAGTTACATTCAAACCAATCACAGATACATTCCTCTGACACCATTTTATAAAATAGAATCATCTGACGGACATCTAGCTGACTCCTTTGGCATCAGTGTTAAGCTGTAGCGTCAGTGGCGGATGAGTCCTGTGAGGTGGATATGAGAGCGGCATCATCCAGAGCAGTGAACGGATTGGAGAACGGCTCTTCCATCGATGAGTAGATGAGGTATAGCAGGCAGGCCACCAGAAGAAAAACCACAATCTGAACCCACAGAGGCACTAGACGTTGCTGAATCTCCTGCCTCTCCAGTGTAGCTGGACTCAGTGGTGGCATTTCAGGGTATTTAAATTGCACTGGGCGTCCTGCAGCTCCCTTTATAGGCCTTCTCTTTGTAGCACTGAAGGCAGAAAAGAGATTAGAACTGATTTACACTGTCAAAATTAAAGCAGAGGCATTGATTGATTTGATTTAATTTAATCAGCCAATTAATTTTTCATGCTAATCAATAGTTTCCGAACGTGCTTAAGAATGAGAAAGGTATCACAGATGATGCTTACTAGATTCCAGTGGGGGGTTTGGCAGTGTCAGGGAACATCTCTGAAAGAATATCTTTCTCAGGTTCCTATTGGCCAGAGAAAACAAAATAAAAACAAAACCGTCTGAATAAGATAAACTACATGGAAAGGTGTAATCTACAATAGAAATGTAAGTGAATCAGGATATAATAAAAACATGGGAGGAGGATAGAGTGAAGAGGAAGAGAAATACCAGCCTAGACCTAAGACAAACACGGGGCAGATTTGCAAGTCATGTGGAAAGCACAATCACAATTATAAGCACAATCAAATTATAACAAGATATTTTAAAATAATGATAAAAGTGATGTCAAAGCTTAATTTTTTTAGCATCACTACTCCAGTCTTCAGTGTCACATGATTCTTCAGAAATCATTCAATATGATGGTTTGATGCTCAAGAAACATTCATTATAATTACCAATGTGGAAAACAGTTGGGCTACTTCATATTTCTGTGGTGATTCTTTAATGAATATTAAACTAATATTACTTGAAATAGAAATCTTCTGCAGAATGTCACATTTGATCAATTTAATGCATCCTTGCAGAATAAAAAGTTAATTTGTTACTTAAATCCAATCTTACTGACGGAATAGTAGTGTACAACTTTTTATAATAATTACATTTTCATGACAATGTCCTCAAATTCTCAGAAGCCAATTATAAACTAGAAAGAAATATTCCCATGCTTATCACAAAGACTGGTACATTTGTAAAAGTACAACTCATTTTTTCCTAATGCTTTTGGGTTGAAAAAAAAAGTGAAAAGTGTAACAGTGTGGCTCAGCCATACAGGGTTTAAGAATCATGTGAGCTGCATTCATGCGCATTAAAATCGAAGACACATGGGTCAGAAACAAGAAAGCCAGGCCTTTGATAGAACTCATGAGCACTTTCCACTCTCTGACCTACCAACCAAACACCAATGAAGTGACTTCACGGTATATTAAGTCAGGGGAAAGAAAGCCGTCCTAAAAATATACAAATTTTTTTCCTTTGTATAGTTTACAGAGGTTAAAGCTCTCAGATATGTAAAGTCAGTACACTAAAGTGAGAAAAGGAAGAAACAAGAAAAACTCAGGGGGATTTCCCAAAGGACAGAGGGAGTGTGAAAACCCATTAGATGTCTGGCAATGCAATATGTTTTCTGAATTAAACATCCACTGAAAGAGTGAGGACAAACGAAGAGGCAGACCCTGAGAAGAGAAGAGCAAGGCTGAGGGGGAAAGCAGTTACTGTGATAGTTTGTTTCTGATGGGCGGATGGAGACATAAAACAAAGAGATCGGCCTGTCATGGTGTCTTTATCCAGCCTCATGTAGCCCTGATGAGACATAAGAGCTTTTGTCAGACTTGAGCACTGCTGTTAAAGCAAACATATTATCTGTAGCCACAAACCCGCAGGGCCCTGCTGTCCACCGTCTGCTCGGTTCTCTGACCAAATCCCCTCTCAATCTCGGTTTGCTTTGACTGAGGACTAAATCTGTTCTCAATCTGCAGACAAAACGAAGGACAAATCCATAAGACTTAAGTTAAAACTACAACTAATTAAAACAAAATCACTGCCAGCCAATCATCCCATAATTATTGAGATATCCGAGTTCAGACTCCCCTCTTCCACCATCTGAGTGATGCTGAAGGTTGTGTACTGGGACCTACTTTGACCCAAAGACCCATTCTGGGAGGAGTCTAAAGAAGATTTGTGCTGAATCTTTCCCTGCAAGAGAACCAAACTGAATAAAGCACAAGTGGAATCTATGCAAAGCAATACGACATCCGGAACAGACAATCAGATGTTGCACCGACAGCCCACAATCCTTCAGTGCAATGGAATCAAACTATCCTAAAAACCAAAAAGTGCAAGACAGCAAAAGATAAAATACAGGGTCTAAATCTCTTAAATATTTCACAACACAAAATCTGTGGAAGAAACCAACGATAGTGTCATTGACCCCTTTATCCCCTGCAGAAAATGATCAGGTACGATGCTCTAAAATTGTGCCCATAAGAACGGTTGATACTGTACATTTAAGAATCCAGATGAGGGCATAAAGCAGCGGGGGTAAAAATCTCTGCTCTGACTGAACATGCCCACCTGTGGATGTGAAAAATGCAGTACAACATACATCACAATTTAAAATGCCATAATAACTTTAACCACAGAGTGGTACCATTGTTCATGTTCCCACAGAGACATTAAAGCTGCAGTGCATCATTTTTTTTTTATATTAAAATACTTTATTCTGTCCAGCTTAATATGCAGAAACAACTATTAATAGCTCTGCAGAGCTAAACATTGTTCTGTTTGGTGTTTGCTTCTCTTTGGTATGTGGGTGAAACTGGGTTAGTTGCAAGCTCCAGAAATTGAATAAAGCCCATATTTTCTTGGCAAATAATGACAAAAAAAAAAGTCAAGGGATTAAATAGCTTAAGGGATAAAACTGTTAACTACAGGGGGACTTTAAGACTCTTTTTAAGGACACACGGAACATAGGTTTGTCATTTTTTATGAGTTATGACACCCTTTTATGATGCTGGTAGCATTGAAATTATATACTTCAGCTTTAAAATCCATCATACCACCAAGTGAGCTTGAGTTACCATCAAGGGCCTCTTTGCTACATCAAAAGTGTCAATCTCACATACATAATTTATGGCCTTACACAACAAAACTGAAGGACAGCTGGTTTGCCTTGCCTCTTTACTGAGAAAGACCCAAGCAACAACTGTTGTCCATGTTAATGATCAAAACACACTCATAGCAGAATATGGAGAGTCCGTTGCGATAATGGATGAATCATGTTTCAGTCTCAGGGAAGTAACAAAGGATGGATTCAGGTGCATGTAAAGCCACTTACTTTGCTTGCCGTTTCGCTGTTCTCTGTACGGGACACCGTTTTAGACCGAAGCTGCTCTGACTCTAGAATACATGAAAAATGAAAATGTATTACTAGCAAAAACAACACCAGACGAAGTCTTTAAGAGAAACACTATTTTTTTTTAGTATAAATTAGTCATGGGACACAATGATTGACAAGATGTACACATTTATTTTGGCCTTCCATCCACACTAAGACAATGTATGCATTTCTGTGAAAATTTAGCTTTTTGAAGAAGCTCAAAAGATAAATTTTCAGATAAATTTGAAAACAGTTTTCATGTTGTAGTGTGGAGAGTGAAAACAGTGGCATTTGAAAATGATGTTTAGTCGTGCAATGCATATTGTTACGATAGAAATCTGTTATAATAGTAGTGTGTTGCTGCCTACTCTGTGCTATTTACTTTCAAAGTCGTACAATCTTCATATTACATTCTTGAAAAATTTGAGGAAAAAAAAGTCACCAGTAATTGGTCAAATATTTTGCTAATAAAACCAGTGATACTCCGATTGATCAGCCGGCAATCATAATCGGCCAATAGTGGCTAAAAATACCTTGATCGGCGAACCCCAAAAGCGCAGATCACGTGACGTAATATATTTATGACTAACTATATAATGACTAAAGTTTAAATATATAATGACTAACGTTTCGACGCACATGTAAATATATTAAAAAGCTCTGTGCTCCGGTCCTGCTCCTTGGTTTCAGTTAGACCTTGGGTCCTTTTCCTATATTATGTCTGGTCTCTGTACAATTTTAGTGAGCTTTTATTACATATTAAGCATGCACAGTAAGATGTTTAGCATTATCCGATGTTTCAGTGTGAAACTTTTGAAAAAAGTGTGGATGGAGAGCGTTTTAAAACAAAAATGTTTTAAAGTCCTCTGATTGAGATCACTTGGAGCCTATTTATTCAAGGATTTGTTAAAACAAATAATCGTCTAATCATTCAAGCAACCCATTGAGCATTCGAGAGTCAATGCTGCTCCCTACCGGAGTCCTTCTCCTCATCTTCCTCCCTCTCAGCCTCTTCCTCACTGTCCGAATAGAGGCCTGCGTCCCCTGTGCCGTTGACCCTGAGCTGTGATGTCTGTGCTGAAGAGTCCAGCAGCCTTCTCAGCTTCTTTTCATATAAAACTCTAGTGGAAGCTGCTTAGAACATACACACACACATGTTGAGTTACAGTCTTTTCCTTTCAAAACAGATTATGCTCAATGACTCAAACAGACTGACCTACGATGGGTCCTGCTTTAACCCCATACTGGAGAAGTTTGGCTTTCAGCTGATCATCAGTCAGTGAGTCCAGGTCTACCATGTCTGCTGCCTCTTCTTTCTCGGCCTGTACAGGGAAATACACACACACACACAACAAACTATTTAATCAAATCCTCTGGAGGCAGTGAAATTATAGTGATTCATCATGGTAGAGTGAGGAATCAGCACATTTTAGCATAATCTAATAAACATATGCTGACACTAGCTTGCCAAAGGGTGAACCTCGGCTCACGCAATCCTCAATAGACTCTTGTTTTGAGGCTTTCTCGCCTTTGCATCTTGCACTGACACATTCTGAAAAGGGGTCACATCCAATATTAGCTGCTGTAGCAGTTTCCCCAACTCATACAAACCTCAGGCTGCAGAAACTTCTTCACATTTTAGCAGAATTGAGCACGAACGCTTTACACGATCAAGCACAAAATAAGGGGTACGGAAAAGAGCCAGATAAAGCGAGTCCGGATGGAAAGTTAACATATTTGTGACGAATTACGGAAATATTACAGTATAGAAAAACTTTAAAAAAAAAACAGTGTTGTACAAATATTTGAGGTTTGCATGGTTATGTAAAACCAAAAGAAATGCAGTACTAATGGATCAGAACAGATGGCATTTATCTGAGGCATTTCAATGCAGCATTTAGTCAGAAAACCCTCTAGCAATTTGTTTCTCAAATATTTAGGCAGCAGACCACTTCAACAAAACAAAAATTGCAGACCACTAATAGTCTCATTTGCTAGTCTTCACAGATCCTGCCTTGAGCCACCAATAATATCCATACTTATTTCAAGCAAAAATGCTAGAAAGCAGTTTTGTGCTTATTTGACTGGAATTGATTAGATGGCTACTATCAGTTAATGACCCTAAATGAGATGTCTGTTTGCTAGCTAAGAAGTTAAACCAAAACGCTTGCATTGTGTCATTAAGTGAGACAAATGCTTAAAAACAAGTTGTATGCATGTATAGTATTTAGTATTAAAACTTTAAATTAGCTTTATTACATTTTCAGTTTCATTTTAACTTTAAGTAACTTTATGTGCTTTAATAGTATTTTTATTCAGCTCTATTTTTTTTTCAGTTTTAGTAATTTTAGTTAATTAACTTAGCATTTATTTTATTTCAGTTAATCGCCAATGCAACATTTCCAAAGTTTTTCATCTAATGTTTATATTTTATTTTAGCTTTATTTCAATTACCAAAAATTATCTTTAGTTTTAGTTAACAATACTAAATATAGCCACTAATAGATTGGTTTTCATTGGTTTTCATTACCTCAGTCAGTTCTACACAATCATATGCAATATGAATGTTGCAATCAAACACAATGAGTGACAGTTTTTATCATGTTGCTCATTCTTAAAAAAGTTTTCTTATAATTAACTAAAAATTACACCATTACTAGATGGACTCAAAAAGGTTTGTACATTTAAAAAGTTTGTTATTGTAAAATATAAAACAAGAACTGCCAAATCATAACCTGGCAATGGCATGCTACTTTCCAGGGCAATACCACTTTGGTCATCACAAAGAAGTGCACACTTCTAATCATAAATGGAGAATTCGACACCCGAGTATAAGATGGCTCTGACCCAGATTCCCCAGCCCCCTTTGAGGGCCCCTGACCCAAACACACACACACACCTGCATGGGTCTTGCACACTGCCAGTGTGAGTGTGTGGGTGTGTGTGTGTGAGACAGCTGGAGCCTTATTCTACAACTTTGAGGAATCATGTTTCGGTCTCACTCAGGAAAAAAAAAATTCCTCATTTTGACAGAACAGTCTTTGATGTTTTGAAATGCATGCATGCTTTAACTGTATTTCACTGGGGTTGGGAGCTGACAGGCAATGACCTACAAACCCCTCGACAGCTTGAAAGCAAAGAACATATGGGTATGAATATTCACAGCACAAATCAAATCCATTTCGATCACGCCACCTTGCGTCAAACTGCAAGATAGACAAGTTGGGAATCCTACAAAACCTGTCTGCAAGATGGGAGACAACTTGTGAATCAAAACACTGTCAAGATCAGAAAGACAAATCTTCAGGAATGAAGATTACTAACGTGACCTCTACAGCTGCTACCTATGTTTCAACTCACGCTGGCATTAAGATGAGGATCCTCCTCTTCATCACTAGAGAAATCTGTGCTGTTTGTCTTCACATGTTTCAGATAAAGCTCCACATAAGCGTGTTTCTTGCTGTCGGGTGGAGGTAGATCCACATTATGCGCTATGAGCGCCGACTTCAGCCTCTCTTTGGAGAAGTGAGCTGGGTCTTCCACAAACACCGGCATGAGTCTGCTGTGGAAAACTAACACATTTGAAAATCCAAGCCCTGAGGAAATGATTTCCGCTGCTAGGTGAATGAAACTTTGGCCTTGTTTTGCAAAAGAACGGTCTAAATCGGAAGCTCAGCGAGTTTTGAGAGTCCAAACAGCCTTGTCACCAACAGCTGTTCACTAGGCTCTCCTTATATGCGCGCTCAGAAACGCCTCATGCGAAAAACTCATGCAAAATAAAATAAAATAATATATAAAAACACGACTGTACAAGTTTAAATAACACAGGAGACAGGATAATAATTCACATTTATGGTCAATAAAGTGAGCAGCTCGCAGGTAACATAATAAATGGCAATCTTTAAGTCATTGTTTGCGCGTGACCTGTTCAACGAGCAAAAGTATGAAACGGATTATGTTTGCAAACTCACCTTGTTAGAAAGAAACTGTAATGATTTTCACTGCTGACAAATTGCAAATGATGTTTTAAACAAGCCCTAAAGAAGCAACGTTACCTGGATAGTATTTTAAAATCGGCGCGCTGACATGACGTCCACGTCCTCACGTCACAAGTTGGATGTTTTCCCGCCGTTTCTTCAGAGACATGTCAACTGAAAAAAATATATAATTCTATCGTTAGTGTTTATTAAACATATATATGTAAAGGATATAGTGTAATGGCCAAATGAATAAATAGGCCTACATGAACTTGAAATACTGAATTGATTCGGTTATTTTTTTATTATTTCTTACGTGTAGATTACCTGATAATCTTAATGAAATCAAAATTGAAAATTCTTATTTTGTATGGAATATTGCTAGTCTGGGTTTCCCCATACTGCCTTCCCGCAGCGCGATTTAATTCACGCAGAAAGGCGTGACCCAGGTTTTCGCCTCATTTAGGGAACCAATCACAGAATGGGGAGAGCAGCAAGACGATGACGACATCTATGCCACACACCGCAGTTTGTTTATATCTTCAACATGGCAGCTGACGCGAAGCTACCTTTGATGCAGCCTTAAATATTGTTCAAAGTAGTTTAGAATGCAAGTTTATTTAAAAAAAGAGTAGCTTTTGGCGTTAAACTAAACTTCGCGAGACCCCAGTCGTTATTGTTGTCTCGCCATTAATCGCCCGAATAGAGTACGAGGTACAGGAGGCGGTCAACCTTGGAATATCTGCCGCTCAGCTGTGTCCCGAGAAAGAAAATGTGACAAAGAAGTGTCGATACCAGCTTCTGTTCGGCAGTCCCGAGGCCTGGATGAGCGCAAAGACATTTTTATTAGCCACGGAGTTGTATTACCAACCTGCTAGGCATCGTCTACCACGAAGTCCATTATAAATGGTAAGTGGTATTTATTAATATCATATTGTCATTATGCCTGTAGACTACCTACTGTGGTTGTCACAGTGCTACTAAGTTGTGTTGCGTTTCAATACCAATATACAGCTAGCGCTTTAGTAGCATAACTTTCAGCTGTGCACACGTACCCGATTAAAGTTGTTGACACTTTAGTCATTAAAGAATTTTTTTTTTTACTTGTTGTGAAGTACAAGCGCAAACAATTTCCACTGCAAATAACAACTTCAACATCTATGCTAAACTGTACTTAAAGGGTTAGTTCACCCAAAAATGAAAATTCTGTCAGTATTTACTCACCCTCATGTTGTTCCAAACCTCTATGTGTTTATTTGTTCAGCTGAATACAAAAGAAGATATTAGGAAGAATGTTTTAATCAAACAGATCTCATTCCCCATTGACTACCATAGCACATACTATGGTAGTCAATGCGGATTGAGGTCTGTTTGATTAAAACATTCTTCCAAATATCTTCCTTTGTGTTCAGCAGAACAAATAAACACATAGAGGTTTGGAACAACATGAGAGTGAGTAAATACTGACAGAATTTTCATTTTTGGGTGAACTAACCCTTTAATACTTGTGTTTTTCTAATTGAAATGATTGGCTATGAGCTACAGGCACATTTGATAGACATTCTTAGCACCAAATAAACGGCGCCGGGCATTCGTAAACCACGCCTCAAATACGAGAAAATGAACATGTAGTTCCAAGACCCAAGTCTCAACGAGAATTGGGTCTGGCGTTAGCCAGGCTAGAATATTGCAGTATTTTGTTATAAATGGTTTAGCCTATCAGTGCACATAATTTATTTATTTATTTTAAGTTAATGTGCTCACTTAGGCGGCGCAGCCTAATCTTTAATCAAAATAAGTTCCCCTCCTTTTTGCAGCAACAGTTCTCTGATGCGTTTAATGTGTTTCCACCTTTCACTCACATGACATCACAGCAAAAGCAAACCAAAACCATCCAATCAATTCCTGAGAGAATTAGAGAGAGAGAATTTAATATTCACATGTAGGCATTTTAAAGCTTCTTTTATTGATTCTTAAGAGTATTTATATTACCTTTATATACATATTCATTTAAAATCTGCTTAATAATAATCGATGAATTGAAATTGCACGTATGTTTGTGAGATCATTTAAGGGTATAATAATTACAGAAATAGTTTCTAAATCATACAAGTTTATTTACTAAAAGCCATGATTTTGTCTTTAAAAATCATTTGGAATATATAGTGACCTTTAATTTGGAGTAGGTGGAGTGACTTTGTGTCACTTTGCTCACAGCTGATTGGTCCAAGCTCGGTTTGCAACCTCTTACCTGGAACAACCTGCCCCGGACCAGGTTAGCTGTGGAGTGTAAGTTACTATGGCAATGAACACTGCTAAAAGCCAAACCACTTTCATGGTGCCCAAAACCAAGGGTTGGCGCAAACTAAACTGAAACATAGCTGGCTAGCCACCTAAACCGGCTTCATGGTATAGCCCCCTGATGGACAAAATCAAAGCTTGCCCTACCTTTTGCTTGTTTGATAATCAAGCTGATGAATTGAAGTGTTTATAATCTGATGCCAACACTTGGATATACAATTTAGCAACCGCCTTTTTCAAGACATGTAAAAGCTTTTAAAAAACACAAGTGGGGTATTACAAGTGTGTTTTATGTCGGAAAATATCTTGAGCTTGTTTAATGATTTTATTTCAGGCTTTTAATCAAAATCCTATGGGACAATGGAACCAGAGTGCTAAACTCGTTTTCAGGTTTTGCCCTACAAAAATATGTCATCCCTGCAGCACTTTATAGGGAAAAAAACAATGATCCCAACTCTTGTTACAGGCTGACTTCATGAAAAGAGAGAGGTTGAGGAATCGTACAACCTCTGGTTGCCATTGTGAATGATCCAGTTTAGCAGTCATGCAAAATTATTTGACCATTCAGTGTTATGACTGACTAATATTAATCAAGTATACCAGATATCAATATAATAATGAAGTTTATTAACAATAAAGTTTAATAATGGCACCTGCACAATTATCAGTTTTCCCAAGAGCTGCTCTAAATGGCAAGGCAACATTTGAATGATATAATCTGTACAAATAAAAGGCTAATGGCTGCTCCAAAACTGCCTCTCAACAAACTGCAGATCATTTTCTTATTCTTCACAGACTGTAGGTTTTCAATTTATTGGCTATATACTGCATTTTAGTTATTCACCAGGCTTATATCTTCCTGATGCATTACTCCATAAGGCTCCTAGCAAAAGGATTATCGTGTACTACAAGCCACTTTAATAAGCTTCAAGAGTCCAGAAGGATCTGCCAACAGTAAACGTGCCATGCATCACAACTGCGCTCTGTCTCCCCCATGTCAGTGACGGGCGCAGGCACAGATTCTGTGTGTTTCACCACTAAGGTGCATCCCTGGACGAACTCTTGATTCACTCTGCTTCTCTATTCTGGAAATGCAATGCTTTGCCTGTTGCCCAGATTAGTGTGGCATTCATTCACTCATCAACATGCACCTCCTCTCCCCACCCCTGTCTTTCTGCGTTTTTCTTCTCATCTTTAAAAAAAAAAAAATTCTCCTTTCATTCTCAATTGAATGCATCTCTTCTCCCATGCAGGAGATGATGCGAGGGAGGGCAAGAATATACCATCACCCCAACGCTCACCCAGCCAGCCCGAGGCTGGCACTGCAAATTGCATGTTTAACATTCAAAACTACACTCGGTTAAACAATAACACTGCTATCTATTTAGGCATTATTATGTTGCTGCGTATTTCTTGGAAATTAAATGTCTCGTTGTATGTGTCTCGGCTCCCGTCATGTTTTAGAGGCCATTTTAGTCCATTCAACAGACATTTTTTTCTCGAACTACAACAAATGGGTCGTAGCAAAAGCTATGGATATATATGTAGATTGATTATATCCACTGCTGATAAGCCACTCTGTACCTAATGGCTTTGAACCCTACATGATACACCATATCAAAATCACATAGGAATAGAAAGCCATAAAGCACAGTAGTGTTGTGTTCCGAGGTGAAACCACCATGAGACCTGCCGTGTTTCCGTCCTTTTATTACGTGGCTGTCTTCAGCTAAACAGATTAAACTACTTGAGCCAAGTTGCAGCCTGCATAGAAGATTAAAGAGAAAAAAACGTCACATCATCATGAATCATTAAACAAAAGAGAGACTATTATTCAGTTTTCTTGGCCTGGGAGGATTAAAGTGTTTGTATCTCATTGTTCTTTTTAAGGTTACTCCCTGGGGGAAATTCTGGGATTTTCTCTTGATTTATGTATGGGTTACTGTTCCATTTGTTTCATTTCTTTCATTTCTTCCATATGAGTTCCTCACTCCAGTTCTAGTGAGATGTGTTTTTTAGTCCATCAGTCTCTCAGAACATTCCAAACAGTCTTTGATGAGACTCTGTAACGATGCCAAGAAATAAAAAGGTACAGCTCTAATCAAAAGGCTTTTGTGGTTTCCACAGTGGCCCTGGTGAATGCTGAGAGGATTATGTAAACATTCAATTTACAATTAGACTCCAGAAGTCTAGCTGACTTTCTGCCTCTGACAAAATCCTTTTTTTTACACACAGCTCAGGGGAGTTTAGCAGATCTGATTAGTGAACACAATACACGTAAACAGTTAATCAAACTTGCCATTCAGACAATAATCAAATGCCTGATGAAAATGGTACATTATAATCTGATTTTTGTTTTGAGGTCTGTGCTTGGTTTTGTGATTTATTCACGTAACTAAGAGATAACGACTATATAGGAGGCAAAAAAACAGTATGTGATAAAATAGGTAGGCCTATGTCTGAATTCACAATCCTCATCATAGAGTAATCAAAAACTAGCCGTATTACCGACTACTTCCGGTGAGAAAGAAGGTGAAAAACAGTAGCTATGTGACAAAAGAAGTATTTCCAAATTCACACTATTCATAAAAGAGAAGGCAAAAAGGATGACTTCTTCCAGCGAGATTCTGACCTATGATTGGAACTTAAGTGAAGCAATGTAACTGATGGTCACGTGATAAGGGCAACATGGCAAATGTAGTAGGCCTATGTCCAGATGACGTTCTTCCTACACACATTAATACTAGCCTATAGAAAATACTTTTTTAGTGCCAGTTGAAGTAATTACTTATTTAAAATAAGTATGTACTCAAGAGAATAGTCTATGCGATTTAGGATGCAGCCAATACTATCCCATGAGGCCACGGGAGAGGGTTTGTGAATGGCAGTGAAGCGACGCAACTGACGCTAGTAGGTCACGTGATAATGACAACATGGTGATTGTAGTAGGCTACGTCCATATTACATTTATACTATACACAGAACAAACCTACTTTTTACCACTCGCAAAGTTTACTTATTCAAAATAAGTAGGCTACCCACACAAGAGAGTCTGCGATTATGGACACATCCTCTGATTCATTCAGAAACAAAACTGAGTCAGTATATCATTCAATCAATTGATTATTTCAAAAACACTGATTCATTCAGGAATTAAATAAGAGACACTTTCTGAGTGAGTCTTTAAATAATTTACTCAATTGATTCATTCAAATCAAAATAGGCCTAAGTGACTCTATAAGTCTTTAAATAATTCACTAAACTCAACTGATGCCTTGAAAACACTGATTCATTCAGGAATAAAACAAGTGACTCTTTATCAGTGAGTGAGTCATATAATTCATCAAAAAACATGAGTGATTAATTTATTCATTCAGCAACGTCACACCTGTGTGATGCTGATCAGCGTGTCACTTTACTGCTAAGGTTTTATTTGGGATTTTTATTGGCGGAGCAAAAAACGGATGGACTAACTTGCTATATTGCCTATGTTATTAAATATTTTCTTGTTTACTGCTGAATAAACTCAATTTGCTTTCGCTATGAAAATCAGCACGGCTGCCAATAACTGCTATAGGCCAAACTCTCACAAACATTAAAGATGCAGACAAGATGCAAGGCTTTGGCAAGCCGAATGCTAGCAACATATTTTCACAGTAATTATTAGTTCACAACCAAAATAGCATACACAGTTATTTTGTGTGAGTCACAAAGGCCTATCAGTGTTCAGTGTGCCAAAATTGTTGGTTTTGATAGCTATGAATTTAAATGTTAATCAATTATTAAACCGATCTGATAAAGAGCGGAATTGATGACATGTCTCTCTCTCTCTCTCCCTCTCTGCCAATAAAAATATTGGTCGTCTCTGACCATTCATCCTCATAAATATCTGGCAAAGAGCTGATTAGAGAGAGAGAGAGAGAGAGAGAGAGAGAGAGACATGTCATCAATTCCACTCTTTATCAGATCTGATTAATATTTGACTAACATATTCATATGTATTCTGACACAGTGCTTGCCAGAATAGGAAAGAGACACTACATGTGCTTGTGTCATGAAAACACATCACAAAAAAATTATTGACATTCTTCTGCTCTTGCAAATCTTCCTACCTCATTATTTGAGTGTGTTCAGTTCAGACATTAACACTTCACAAAGAAATCCCTCTCTGGAAGGCTAGAATAGATTGATAATTGGAGGAATATATCACAGGATTTGAGCAAAAGTGATGCCTGCTTGTTAGTTTATTAATGGTTTCTGGAAAAAAGAGAGCATTTTTGCTGCAAAGGAGTCCTAATTATGAGCAGCGTTTTATATATTTTATATATAGCGAGTATATAAGCTACACATTGCTTTTGTAGAAAAATAAGTTTAAATGACACTGGGTGAAGTGGGAAGGAATGTGTAAACCTAGCCATGCATATTCCTATCATTCTCCTGTGGGAATTTGTATGGTTTACACATTCCCAACTTGACTGAATTGTTGAATAGCTCGAAATAACATGTAAGATTAAAAACATTAAGTCACCATGCAATGCAAGTTGCAATAGTCTTCCCTACGTGATGTAGGCCTATAGCCTAGTGAAAGACTTCTCGAACAAGAAAAAATGTAGATCGGGACTTGATTTTTTTCATAGGGAATTGATTGGATGGTTGTGGTTTGCTATCGCTGTGATGTTAAGTGAGTGACAGGTTGCCCTGCCCTCAAACCAGTAAACATGTCATCAGAGAAGAGATGAGATAATGCTGCAAGAGGGAGGGGAAGTTATTTTGATTTCTAAATACAAGGGCACATGAAAATAAAAAAATGATGTGCCTGGATAAATCATTTATAATAAATACTGCAATATTAAAAAATGTGAATGAAAATAAGAAATGTGTATGTGATATTGGCCAATAACTAAAATAATTTAATGAATAAAATAAGATAAATCTATGTAAATCCCTTAAACAATAAATGAAATAAAACAAATTAAAACTGTGTGTATATATATATATTACACACACACTCACTCACCTAAAGGATTATTAGGAACACCATACTAATACTGTGTTTGACCCCCTTTCGCCTTCAGAACTGCCTTAATTCTACGTGGCATTGATTCAACAAAGTGCTGAAAGCATTCTTTAAAAATGTTTGCCCATATTGATAGGATAGCATCTTGCAGTTGATGGAGATTTGTGGGATGCACATCCAGGCCACGAAGCTCCCGTTCCTTCACATCCCAAAGATGCTCTATTGGGTTGAGATCTGGTGACTGTGGTGGCCATTTTAGTACAGTGAACTCATTGTCATGTTCAAGAAACCAATTTGAAATGACCACCACCACCACCAGCCTGCACAGTGGTAACAAGGCATGATGGATCCATGTTCTCATTCTGTTTACACCAAATTTTGACTCTACCATCTGAATGTCTCAACAGAAATCGAGACCCATCAGACCAGGCAACATTTTTCCAGTCTTCAACTGTCCAATTTTGGTGAGCTGTTGCAAATTGTAGCCTCTTTTTCCTATTTCTAGTGGAGATGAGTGGTACCCGGTGGGGTCTTCTGCTGTTGTAGCCCATCCGCCTCAAGATTGTGCGTGTTGTGGCTTCACAAATGCTTTGCTGGATACCTCGGTTGTAACGAGTGGTTATTTCAGTCAAAGTTGCTCTTCTATCAGCTTGAATCAGTCGACCCATTCTCCTATTTTCACCCACAGAACTGCCACATTCTGGATGTTTTTCCCTTTTCATACCATTCTTTGTAAACCCTAGAAATGGTTGTGCGTGAAAATACCAGTAACTGAGCAGATTGTGAAATACTCAGACTGGCACGCCCCTGGCACCGACAACCATGCCACATTCAGAATTGCTTAAATCACCTTTCTTTCCCATTCTGACATTCAGTTTGGAGTTCAGGAGATTGTCTTGACCAGGACCACACCCATAAATGCATTGAAGCAACTGCCATGTGATTGGTTGATTAGATAATCCCTAATAATCCTTTGAGTGTGTGTATTATAGTATAAAGATAAATAATATAATAAGAATGTTCTGTTATGAAAATAACCATATTCATATTTTCATTACAAGTAGATATAAGGCTATTCAAGCCTAATGAAAACCTGAAAATTTGTAATTTTTAGTCATTAGGATACCGATATGACCATTAGTGTGTATTTCTCATGAAATCTCTGGAAGTCAAGGCAGAGGAAGTTACACCCCCCCCCCCCCCCCTTCTGATGCTTATTCAGGGACCCTAATTCATAGAATAACTGTATACCAACAGTAACAACTGCAATAAATCACAGTAGCATAACTCTGATGCCATTTTTATATCTTTTAGGTGACAGCATTAATCAAGCAGCAAACATAGCCAATTAAAATGTTGTCAAGAATAACATGCGACAGAAATATAAAATCCGCCTATTAATGTAATCTGACAGGCTGGTTTCACATGCATTATAATTCAGCCTCAGGATAGGGATAAGGAAGGATTTGTGTCTTGTTCAGGCCAATGAGACAACTCAGAGTTAAATGAAGTGATTCAGGTTTATGCATTAGACATAACTCTAATTACTCACATTAACACAGACGCATGCACTAATGATCATTATGCCAAGCCAGTGCAACACAGCAAAACAATCCGTTTAGAGGCTCCTACGATCGTTCTGATTGGCTGTTAACTTGGATTCACTGCCAAATCACTATAGAAGTCACATCCCATGAAAGCTAATTAGACTACAACATTGCAGTGTGTAGTCAAATGGAAGTTGTTAATGTAACATAAAGCACAATTATTGTTTGTGTTTAAATTAAAAAGACATAATGAGGGATGTTCAAGACATTAAACATATTAAACAGGAAGAAATGAGTAGCTCACCAGACTGAGGATGTGGGAACGGGCAACCAACTGCGTATGAAGTGAGAAAAAAGAGACCAAGAAATTCTGAAAAACAAAAAAACAAAACAAATTGGTTTCAGTTCAAAGCAAGAAATGACATGAAAAAGAAAAATAATAAATTCAATCATTTTTAAAGGCCACAATAATATATGAAACAAGGATGAAGACGGGCCCCATCTTTAACCAAGCCTCTTTCTTACTTTCTTCAATGAGTCCTTGTGCTTCTTTTTTGGCACTGCAGCCGTTGCCTCTTAGAGGAGGGGGAAGCTATTGTATGTGTCCCCCTCTTCTCAACACTACAACTGCTATTTGAGTTACACACACCGGATGCTGCATTTTTCATACTCCAGCGGTTTGATCTGCTCCAGAAAGGAGTGTCAGAATCCCCACATAGGTGAAGTCTCTCATCTGAACACAAATGTGTTTATCAACATTCAGCAGAGGGTTCCCACTGGAGCCATTCAGGGTTAAGTGCCTGTTCAAGGGCACAACATCTATGTCTGGGCTTGGATGTTAAAAAGCAAGATTGATCGGGTGGCATTTCATGTGGGGGGGCATTTTCTAGTTCATTCTCCCAACTGTTGAGAACAAGCCATTGCAATCTCCCCACACATTTTAATGACATCACCATTTTACTTGCAACAAAACTATACTGGAAATGTAGATTCAATACATATTTATCTTATATATTTATTATAAATAATATTATTAATAAATAAATAACAAATATATGAAATAATATATTAGTAAAATATAATACATTCAATAAAAAATGCATTAATACATAATATATAAATAATAAATATTGTTTTATTGTGAAATTGATTAAAAAACAGTTGGATCAACTGTTGAGAACAAGACAATTGTAATGTTTATTACAACAAAATTCTTTTAAGACTATTACTGGAAATTACTATTATTAGATTAGAAATATAATTACAAATATATATTTTTTAAATCATGAAATCATGTATTATAAATATTATAAAAATAAAATAATTTATATAATATAAAATAATAACATAACAATAATTATATATTACATAAAAAATAATAAATATACTATTTATAGTAAAAAAATTATTATCAAGAAATTAATAAAATATGTCTTACCTATTTTATTGTTTCTTTCCATGTATCCTTTCCTTTCTTGTGCCCCTTTAGGTGGATAGAGGAACACATAACACTGTGCATGCAGGTGTTCTGCCTCTCTGAGGAGAATTCACTCTTTTTTTTTCCCTTATTTTGTCTCTGAAATATCTCTTTTTACAGAAAAAAACATCCAGCATATTTTCGCTGAGAAACTAGTGGAAAGGAGACAAAATAAATAAATACAATTCACAAAGAATTCAGTATCTTCACAACTCTTCTCCTCTCAATGCCTCTTTTCGCAGAAGCCCGGCAGACCCCTGTCAAGAAACTGAGGGGAAAGAGGACAAAAAAAAAAAAAAAAAAAAAAACGAAACGAGATTACATAAGAATTCAGTAGTACATCTTCAGAACTCCTTTCCCTCTGACAGGGAAAAGCAGAAGTGAGAGGGGAGGAGTGGAGGAATGGGAAGGCTGTCTCCATTCTCCTCTGCATCCCTCTGCTATATTCTCACAGCTCTCCTTGTAACACACACACATGCTGCACAGCCCCCACCTCTCTCCCCCATTCTTCTGCTCTGTCAAATAGACACACAAGCTTAGTTCATTACTATTCACCGGGTCTTCCTAAGACATGCAATGCTACCCTACTAAGAGAGGAAGAGAGCGAGAGGGGGAAAAAAAACTGGCTTGTTGCATATATTCTGAAATGGATTGTCTAAAAGCTTCGTCCATTCTGAAACATCAAAAACGTCCTTCCACATCCCCTTGTCCAAAAAACTGTGACGCAATAAGCAGCAATGTAATATATTCCTTTGTCTGTCGTTTTTGTTGCTCATGATACAGTTATGTGCTGAATTTGCCTCGAATCTTATTTCAAAGTTCGTCTCCCACCATTTTAAAACGCCGTCTAATCCCATTCACCGAATCCCTTGTGTTACCCCCGATCTTTGTGTCTCTACCATTTTCTCTCTACTAGCGTTTGCTGGGGAGTGATCTGTCTCGCTTGGCTAGAGAGCTGGCAGCAGGGCTGAGGTGAGGAGAGAGAGAAAGTACACTGAGGTTAGCCATGTGCGTCCTCCAGCACACTCAACTTCACCAGCCGCTTCCCCTGAGGAGCCGCGTGCTTTGGGCTCTGCTCTCACTTTCATCAAGTTAAAGAACTTTTTTTGCAAAAAGAAAAAGGTTTTTGATGGAATTTTAAAGATAGAGTGTAATGCATGGGGACGCGACTTCATAGAGTGTCATTAGATGATGCTTCTGTCAGATTGCGGTTCCTGTGTATAGATGCATTTGTATTGGCAAATTCTTGGAGGCATTTCTTTGTTCGTGCGTGCCAAATTCCTGGCAAGGACGGCACTCTTTGCGAATTACCTTTCCTGCAGTTTTTCCTCCTTTCCCGCCCGCCCTGCCTTGTGTTGTTGACTGAAGAGTGAAATGAGAGAGAAAATCCCTTTACACATGATCTGGTCCGTTAGGCTTGGTTAGTGGCGGCTGTCTGCTGTATTTTTGTACTTGGTTGCTTGTCATTTTTGGTTTATGTTAAACTTTTTACAGTAAACTAATCGAAAAATCTCTGGACAGACTTGCTTGTTTGGGGTTGAATGGCTTTTTAAACTTGCATCTGTTGGTATGAGTGGCCTAAAAAGTCCAAACGTCTGAAGAAAATGGAAATTTACCAAACTTTATCTATGCAAAAAATTTGTTCTTGGAATTTTAATCAAAATATAATTACTGGATCTTCCAGTGAAACATCGAAACATCAGACCTCTGTGATGATGCTGGACTTCTCCAATCATTTAGTCCACTTAAACCCTTCCACTTTCGTACAATCAACTGCTAGCTCGCATTCAGATCTGCCTGACGCGAACCAAATACCCACCCTACATTTTATCCTTTTTCGATAATCTGAGCGGTCATAATACAGAAATGTCATTATTTAATCACTCTCTCATGTCAGTCATATTTCCCTCTATGGAACCAAAAAAATGAATTTTGTAAAATGTCATGACCACTCTTTTTAATACAATACAAGCAAATAAGACAAAAACAGCACCATAAAATCGTTCATTTGATTTATTTCAACTCGTATAAAATAATTGTGTAAGAAAAAGATGGAAATTTAAGTCATTATTCACTGAAAATCTTGGCAATATCGGATAAAGTCATTCTTTTCTACTCAAAAGACAAAAGAAAATCATATGAGTTTGAAACAAATGGGTAAGTCATGACATTTATCGCAATGACAGTCATCTTTGGTGGTAATTTAATAAAAACTGAGGATACTTGAGGATACTTACTACTTTTAAAATGCCCATAATATCCATTTAACGTCTAATTTAAAGTTCTAATAACTTAATAATCAACACAAGAAATATGCATTCCATCAGTTGTTTAAAGAGCTGTGAGTATAAACAGTGACAAAAGCTTTAAATGTTGAAGAGCACTGCTTTATATGTTGATGTTTTTTCTTGTTGAAACTGGAAGTCTATCTGCCCATATCAATGGGCTCATCCCATTTTTAAAGTCAATAGCCTTTACTTTTCATCACAGTCATGGCACAAGCTGCATCTACGATCACACACAGTAGTACATTTGATTTGAAACTATGTTTGCGAACATTAAATAAAGTCTTGACACCATTCACCCACCTTGAATTCTATACTATACTGTATATGAATTCGGATGTAGTACTTGTCTCACATACTGTTTTTTTTTTTTGCCTTATATATAGTAAGGAAGTTGGCATATTCGGACGCAGAGATTAACTATTATTTGTAGGATTATTAATTTAAGAATCTGTTTAAGATCTGCTGAGAACTACAAAACTAAGAACTACACTGTATTGTGCATAGCTATATTCGAAAGTGGTTGGGCTTGTCCCGCTGATTTTCGGATGCAGGTCTCTTCAGCCGGAACATGCTGGAGCTCCCCAATAAATCCATCAGCCTAGGGTACAAGCAAGAGAAGGCACACCTTGAACTGGAGCTAAATGACTCACTTATAAGGAGTGTCCACATAGGCCGCAAATGGAAGGCGCAAGCTGAAGTAGAGCTAGCTCCAGTCTCCAACATCGAGAGGTGATGGGGTTAGTCTAGACCAGTCGGGCTGGACTAGGCTGGGGAGTGCCTCAGCAACTCTGGTCTAAAGCCACCAAGAGCCAGCAGAAGACCATGGTGGTGGATGAAGTTACCAGGTTGGAGCAGGAGCACTTTCACGTAAAGGTAATATCCTAGAGCAGTCAAGGAGCCTGGGCGCGAGCCTGGACCTAACTGTGAATAGGCGCATCACCTGGGCAGACACCTGGAGGACGCTACAATCCAGGCTCAGCTTCCTGTTAAGGGTAACCAGACACCGTCACATGCTCCCTAAACCTCACCCAGTGGTTTGGAGATAAGGTAGGCAGTCCCCTGTGTGGGAACAGCAAAGTAATTCTCCAGCATATCTTATTAGGGGGGAAAATGGCGCGAACCCAGGGACGCTTCAAGTGGCGCCTTGATCAAGTCCTGGCCAAGCTGGCGGAGGTCCTGGAGAGCTGTAGGGTCGCAGCAAATCGAACAACAGCAAATTTCCCGGCAGGGTTTGTCAAGTCTGGTAGCATGCTCCAACTTCCTGCTCAGAAGAGGAACACTTTACTCACACCCTGCAAAGAGTGGCAGATGTTGGCAGACCTCAGGAAGCAGTTGGTTTTTCCAAGATAGATTACGACAACTGCCCTCTGGCCAGACATTATCATGAGGTCCACGGTGGAGAAAATGGTCCTCCTCATTTAACTTACCATTCTCTGGGAACAGGGCATGACAGCAGCCCATGAAAGAAAGCCTCTCAAGTACTCAAGTAGCAGCGGAGTGCCAAGAGGCAGGCTGGAAAGCCAGGGTCTACTCAGTGGAGGTTGGGTGCCAGGCTATGTGGGCAGAACAGCAGTCCAACTGCTCCATGGCACAGGAGTGGCGGGGTCAAACTTGCGGAAAGCTATAAAGGAGCTGGGAGAGCAGGTTAAGAAAGTGAGCTACTGGCTGTGGCTCTAGAGGAAACACAACGGTTGGGGGCCAACATCCCAGTAAAGGCAGCTGCAGGGGGTGGCGGGGGGACTGCCAGTGAGGGGCTTCCTACTGAGAGTCAAACTAAGCGTGAATGTTTACATAGTCTTAGTTCTCGTGACCAGGTCATTTGGGGTACTATTGTCTTCACAGTCAAGGGTAATTGCCTGTATTGTCTTCAGATGCTTTTGTTTTAGTGGTCTATTCTAAGGCTGAGTGTAAGGTCAACACCTATAAAATATGCCCCTAGTCAGACTTGATGACTGCAGCACCCAACAGTACGTTCTAATAAAGAATCCTGCTTAAGATATAACCAACTCTTCTGGTCTTTGAGATTTCCAACACTATTTATTGCTGGTCAGAAGCAGGTGGTATTGGGGCTGGGACATATTCATTCTGGAGCACATTGGATTGGACGAAGATTCATATATATGACATTAAAGCCACATGATTTCAACTCTTTACCGATCTTTAAGTATTGGATGTGTAATGATTTGTGCAGTTATCAAGTGGGAGTTTCGTTTCTCTTCTCTCCTGCTCTCCCTATTCCTCAGCTGTCAGTCTGGTCAGGTCCAGTCTGTTTGTAGCTCTATTTTAAGCGAGGACACAGCCGGGGGGAGGGGAGGAGGAGCAGGAGCAGGGAAGGCTGAAGGCTCCAGGGGCGAGAGGGTGTCGTAATGAAAGACTTATCAGCAGGCCAGAACACCCGTCCAGACAGTCTATGAGATCAAGCAGCATGTAGATATTCATATCCGTCCATTGACACTCACCTCACATATCAAAACAGTCAATAATTAACCAGGCCTGAAGCTATAATTATTCATTATCCAGCAGAGGTGCTTGTAATCTGGTCATGGCTTTATGATAGACTCGCTGCTCAAGGTTATTTGAAAATGATGATCATTAAAGTGACCCTGCTTGCATATAAAAAGTGTGCCGCATTATGGAAGTACATTTCTGAATGCTTTAGATCCGTTACAAATGGCTTGATAGATTATGAGCAAATCTGGTTTTGAGGGGAATTTGGCAGCCACAGTGAGGCTGTTTTTCATGTGGTCTTAAAAGGCAAGGCTAAAAACAAATTGTGGCTGTTTTGGACGGCCAAAAACAAGAGCTGTCTCATCAGAATTATAGCCATCTTATCTTCTCTCAGCCAGACGACTGTGTGTGAGGACTGTCCAAACCTCTCAGAAACCTTCATAGAATCTTCCTCTTAATCTGCATATTCAGATGGTATTCGGCATTGTGATCATCACACAGGCCTGCTCTTGTGGGCAGGGAAGCCTTTATTTTTTCCCCCCAGCATGCCTTTAAATATCAAATACAAACTGACATACTCTCACGCAATCTGTCTCTCTAAAGACAACTACATTCACACACTAAAACAATATGAGTTTACCAAAGTGAGACCTCAACTTCTGCTCTTCAATGACATCCAACTGCTAAATCAATGAGTATAAAGCATAATACAGTAAGTAATAGTGCATACAAAACCATGTTACAGCAATTAAATATTAAAGTGTAATGTAGCATTTTTTTATACTAAAGCACGTTAGTGCTTGTATATTAAGCATGATATTATGCTAATACTTTATGTAGCCTATGAAAGCATGATACAAATGCTAATAGCCAACACATTCTCATCCCAAGGCGTCATATGACGCTTTTGCCAAAGCTTAGACATCCGACGCACATGGCACCCTTTAGCGTCAATATAACACACAGAGTATGGGTAAGTTTAGGTCTGGGGTAGGGTTAGGGTTAGACCACTAGGAGGCGCCTTCTACCCCATATATATCTGCATCTCATATTGACAATAAAGGGTGCCATGTGCGTTGGATGTCTACACTTTGGCGCCTTGGGATGAGAACGGGCTGTAATAGCTTGTATTGTTTTGAGAAGTGAGAAACTTTGAGAAACTATTAGCATAATATAATGCTAATA